AGCAGCAAGTCAGATAGATGTTCTCGAACAGAGATATAAATTACACCTATGACAGAAGCGAGAATCGAACCCCGGGATCTTCCCGGCCAACTCCTTGACCATCAACAAGATGGTTTACTTATATCATAATTTTATTTTCGATCGTCTAGTCAAGGGGTGGCGAACCTTTGTACACCAACGTGGAAATTTTTATAAAAAATTGTTTAATGAGGTCATAGACGTGCCTTCAAATAATTTTGACTTCGTAATTATTTAGAAAATAATAATACTAAATACTTATTAATTATAATAATCAACTCAAAGCTCCTTATTTACATTGAAAGAAAAATACATTTTGCCATGTCTTAAAACAACTTAAAGTAACATCAGTGTGAATTCTGTTGTTGCAGATTAAATGACAAATAACTTATATTAAGTTGTAGGATGTTAGTTTAAGCAGGACAGTTATTATTATTTTTTTTGCTAGTTATTTATTGTTAGCTTGTTTTTTATGGTTATTAATTGTTCTTTTAGCATTAATTGTTAATTTTTTTATTAATGATTGTTTATTATTTTGTTCGTTTTTGTGAATTTTATTTTAATTGTTACATATGCTTCATAGTGTAATAACATTTGTGTAATAACAATTCATAGTGTAATAACAATTGTGATCGATGGCGTGGCCAAAATATTGCGTCTCGTGCCATAAATGGCACGCGTGCCATTGGTTCGCCATTGGTTCCCTGGTATAGTCTTTGTTCTAGTTAACAATCTTTTACTATATACTGCAATGAGGTTCTGAATTGAGGAAACATTTTCATCATATAATTGAGAGTTCGCATTTCGCCTCAAATCAATTGATTTCGTAACGAAATGATTCTCAAAATTAACGAAATAAATCCCAAGGACTGTTGAGTCGTCAAAAACTGAGTTTTATTTCTGAGAATGCAAGACATCTCAAATGTGTTGTAAGCAAAAGGGTCTAGAAACACAAGATAATATCAATACTTATCACTTTATACTCATACTTCTTATTAAATTTCTTTGAAAATATATTTAATTCAAAAAGCTCTGTATCGTTCCAAAAATATTTTTGTTTATAATTAAGATAATATTCTGGATATGACTATTTTGGTGTGACTAAAAAAATCCGGAATAGATGTGTTGTGTCATATTTATGTTATCGAAAAATTAGTTCTTATTATAACTTAATTTTTATAAACTAAACATTTTGTATTTTTAAAAATATTTTGGTTTCGGCTATTATTGAATGACACCATGATACTAAAATTAATGCATTGCATTTTTACAGAGAAAAATTAATACTTACAATGAATTATATTCAATGAAGAGATGAAAAAATTTAAGAGTATAATATTCGTGAAGATAATAATTTAGACATTCCCAATAAGACGATCGTCATATTTTTATTGCACGCTTTCTTATCACTTGTTGCAAGTTCATAATCAAAATAATCGCTGTGAAATACATATAAACAAAATTTATTATCTCTTCACCGCGTTTCACTTTCGTTTGATAAATTAAGAGTAAAAAGTCGTTTTAAAATTCCAGCGCACTATCTTTATTCATCTATTTTCATTTTTTTATTAAGTTGTAAATTTTTTCGAAGCTCCATCTTTTAACGAAATTACTCTTTTTGGTATATAATATGCAATTCTTATAATTGTGAGTTTATAACATTTACTCATGACTGTTTGGTTAAGTTTTGTCTATATTTAGTCCGAACCCTCTATACAAATTTTAAAAATGATGCTAAATGTCCCCCACCGAAATCCGATTGACTACTTTGATTTTAAATAAAGTGTTTCATTTAATGATTTGTCGCAAAAATTTTAGGTGTAGATTGGCGGCACTTAAAAACCGCCAAATATGTAGCTGCGGCGGCGTTAATACTAAGTACCGAATTTTTACTCCGTACTTTTCTGAATCACATTACTTCAAACATTAGAATATGCAAGAAGTATACATAAACACATAATGTTACACTGTTTAATTTTTCAAAAAAAATATTTTGACAATTTTTATCTAAAAATCATAAACTTAAAAACGTAAAACAAAGAATTCTTAAGATAAAAAAACGATTTTAAAAATTCCTCATATTGAAATAAAAAAACTGTCATGTTGTTTCTTTCTTTCATTCTTATAGTTCAGACGTAAAAAACGAATTCAGTAGAGAACTATCATCAAATAAGAAAAAAAATTATTTACAAGCAATTTTTTTATTATAAAAAATCATAACACTCACCTGCTTTATAAATCCACAGAATTCCAAACGAAATGGTCTTCGTTTGGAAACTTTTTCTTAAATAATATATACATAGATTATCCCTTCATTACTTTTAGATAACATACTAACTAACTAACTAACTCAGTGGCGCGACAGCCCATTAAGAGGGCCAAGGCCGACTGTGCCCATCTCAGTTTTCTTGACCTTGGGCTCTGGGGTGCAAGAGCATATGTTCCGGTCAGGTGGTCAGCCGAACGCGGAACCCCCAGTGTTAGTTCCCAAGCATGCTTGGTACTCATTTTATCGACCCACTGAAGGGATGAAAGGCTGAGTCGGCCTTGCCCGGCCCAAGGATCGAACCAAGGACCTGTGGCACGGCAGCGCGAAGCGCTACCACTCAGCCACCGGGCGTCAGATAACATACTATACAACAAAATTTTATAACTGTATGATCTCGATATGAATTTCAATATGTAACTTGAAAGCAGAATAGCTGAATTCTAGTTGAAATTGTTCTTTCAAAACTAAAAAATACTTACCAAGAAAACGATAAAAATTTATTAATAATCAGCACAAATAACACTATTTCAAGTAATTTGCATGATTTTATATTATTGTTTTCCGAATTATATAGATACAGAAATATATACTATTCTATAAAAAAGTTACAGTTCTGAATTCACATGTATTCATTAGAATGAGGAAAACAATGTTGACTTCACTTTGATTTGTAATGAATTGAAGACAGAAAAAATGTATTTTACCGTAATACACACATTTGTAACAGTATGCGATTCCGAAATCGGAAGTCATCAGTTGCAAGTTTGTTGATAATAGAAGTTAAAAATTATTGATGAATTGTTCTTCAAATGATTGGCGTGTTCTGATTCTGAAAGATTTACCAATATTCTGGAGTGTTTTTTCAAGTTCTTCGGCCTTTTCCTTAGGAAAGTTTTGCCTCTTATTTGCTGCTAAAAAATGGCGTCTGATTCAGTTAATGATTTTGGTGGAACTAAAGGAAACGTTAATAAATTAATGCTTAACGTTTTCAGGATCCCGCTGTAGTGCGTACTCGAGCGTTGCGATCGTGAATTGGAAAAATAAACTATAAATGTTTTCAAACTCTTGGAACTTGGAACACATCATGAAATTCTAACTTAATAAAATTTTAACTTAACTTTTGACCTAGTTTATAACTTAAACACTTTGAAAAAAATTAGGTTTCTAGTTTTTAATATAATTAAAAATAATGAACTTTCATACAGTTAATCTGGGAAAAATAAAATTTTATCTGCATTATGTTCATGTAAAGAAAGATACACATTTTTCGAAACATATGTTTCAAAAAAAGTATTCAACTGTTCATAACTTGGACCCAAATTCAAATTAGGAAAGGGAATTTTTTCTAGGAATGTTTCGAGTAGTTATTTGATATCAGGTATTTTATCATATTGAACTACAAAATTAAGCATAAATTTTTAATCTTGAAAAAAGCAAAACAGCATGAATAACTCAGAAAGCAAGTATGTGATTTCTGCATGTTCCAATGACGTGTTCTACCTCATTAAATTTCACTAAAGTGATACTCATTGAAGTTCTACCTCAAGTTCATGAACTACTGAAAACCAGTAAACTTATCATTGTGATATTTTGGTTTAATCTTAATTAAACGGACAGATTTTTCTAGCTAGTAATTTACATATTGACTTTGTATGTCTGTGAGAATTAAATTTGATTATGTTAGTAGGTTTCAAACAGTGTTTTTTATTAACTCTTTTTTTCCAGTTTTCCGACCAATTATTATTTTGTAAAAATATTTTCAGCAAAAAAATACTACCTGTGCTATGATACAGAATGTCCTGATTGGGACACATTTCTACACTAAATTTTTGAAGTTTGTAATCTGAAACTGGAAAGTATTAACGCAGTATAGGCAATACCTCCTAGAAGGGTGAAGGCCTCAGCACAGGTTACCCTCAGCAAGAAATTTGATCCTTCAGTAGTCCAAACGTAATGATCTTTCGTATTTTTCAGCACTGCTCAGCTTAGTTGCCCGAACGTAGTTACATCTTTTTTATTTCCTCCACTGCGCAATTTATGCTCATAACTTACGATTACTAAATAAAGCCGTGCCGAGGCCTTCTCTCTTCTAGAAGGTGTTGGTACAGGACAGAGTTTCGCAATTTTGATTAAACTTCTTCAATATTTTAACATATTTGCATTTCAGTGCCAAATTACTTTTTATTAAACACTTGAGAAATATGCTTGGTGAAATTAATTCTTCTTTAAACTTTTTGTTAGCCTATTTTTATTCATTTATTGTTATACAGTGTTGCAGGCTTGTGTGTTTATTACAAAGTTTAGCCTGTAGGCCTATGCCAAGTTGAGGAACAGATAGTACACATCGCATACATACAGATTTACAATGGGTTTCGAATCCTCTACAGCCATGCTACAAATAGTTTGGTGGAACGGCGTGACCACTCGGCCGAGGAAGACCTTATTTGAAATTTATTATACCGTATAGGCCTATCAAGAAAATTGATTGTTCAAGGATATTGCATCTTCACTCACTATGACGTCCATTAAATTCTTTGTATTTTTTGGTTGAATAACAACATTGCGATTATTGCTTCTCTATTACTTTGCAATTTTAAACCCTTATTTTGTATTAATTATTTTAATTGCGCAAGTTTATTAAATAGCGTATTATGCCAAATGTACTAAATTAAACCTATTATGACCTAAATAAGTAATAAACGAAATAAAAATATCTGTTTTAGTGTTAAGTTTTATTTCCATTAATAAGTGAAATCGAATATGAGGAACTTTTATTAGCATGACAATAAAAGATATTCTGTAAATACCATCGGGTTTTCTTTTACAATTAAAATATTCGGTACGAATCACTTATTACTTCCAAAAAAGTATTGGATAGACCATTTAAATATGTACTTGGTGTCTCAAAAATGTTACAATAATCTTTGACAGGAGAGATATGCTCACGAAACACATAAAGAATGGCGTTTTGTATTAATGGCGTACTACAAAACATATGCTTGTAGGAATCACATTGTTGAACAAGTGCACAAACAAGGAGTTTCTTTGATAATAGATTGTAAGCAAGTCTTGCAAAGAGATCCATTGCAACCTCCACAGACTTGCTTTGAGAGCTGCTCATAGAAATAGATTAAGTCTCCAGAAAGCAGATAAGCATTCAATTGCCTATCAGGATTCACACAGTGGTGCTACATGCACAATAGCATCATAGCACTGAAATGTAGAGCACCACTTAAAAGATTGCGTGACCCCTTCAAACCTCATACTGTGTTCCCCTAAAAATTTGCTGCTATATTTCTGAGACACACTGTGTGTAATATGAAGTCAGGTAGAAACTTTCAATTAATTTCTCATAATTTATAAAGCCATTTTGCCTAAAAACATCTGCTTAGTTGACGTATTGGAACTAAAATTTACAGTAATACTTATTACTAACAGTATGTTATGATATCCATAGAAGTAAGAAAGAGAGATAATTCAATTCAATCTGTAGTTATTGATATCTATTAAATCTTGTATTTAGTCAGAAAAATCACATTTCTCATATTGGGCAGAGAACTCTGGTTCCATCCAAGTTACATGGGCAAAACCATAGCACATGGGATTTGCCCTTCGATCACTCGGCTTGCTTTGAGGTTCAACTGAGACTTTTTGGTAAGATTTTATTTCATCCATCATGGCATCAACTATCTAAGAAAAGCATGGAAACTTTTGAAACAAATAAGAAAAATAACATGAAATTATTGTACATCTTTTCGCTCTTTATAGTTAGAGGGTGCTCTGCGACTCTTGCCTGAACTGTATGTTTAAGTAGAAAATTAGGTTAAAAATATCTGTTAACTTATAAAATGGTTTAATAATTAACTTTAGAAAATGATTTAATGAAGCTAAAAATTATTAAGTCCGAGGAATCATTGTAGATTTCAACTTCAACTAAGACAGAGTGAGAGCATGCAAAAAAAGTATAATTCCATCGGTTTAAACTGATAAACAGCTCAAATAATAGTTTTTTTAAAACTATTTTTACCCCCTTTCACTTTTATACACCAATAAAGGTAATTTTGCTGCTTTTTTCGCTTTCACTGTAATTAACTCGATAATATTTAATTAGATTTCGTAAACATCTTTTTTATTCACTTAAATAATAATCCATGGCTTACTTGACTGTTACGTTGTTAAACTTTCAAAAAACAAGACAATAAATATGCTTTTAAAAATTATCATGACTGATGACACGTCTCCTTTCAATGTTACGTCTTTCATAGCTGTCATCAACGGCTTCTTCTGCTTTTTGAGCACTTTTTTATTGTACTTAAAAACGTATCAGCACGAACGATTAATACTCCTCATCGATGAATAACAATTGCAAATGCAAATATTATTATTGAACCTGCATATATAGAATGCATTGTTGGTTGATATGAACTATTCGCTTTTAATCTTTCAATTCTTCCCAACTTATAGCATAGTTAGTTTCAGCTTTTCGTAATATATGCAGGAAAATAATTTTCATTCAGAAATTCGCTAACATGTAAGTTTACGTTTTCATGCTTATGATAACTCATACTCTTGATGTTTCAATTCTTTGGTGCCAAAGCGGAAAAAACATGAAAACTCTTTTTTGGTACCTTCTAAGAGAAACAAGTGGAGATCCAACATAATTTCCCACGTACAGATCGCGTCAAAATAAAACATTTTAATTGCAAATAAATTACGTAAAACGTGCTTTGTGTATCATAAAATATGTATGACCTCATACGTACAATAAATATGCATGGCCTCACATATACAACCTCACATGTACAAGGAGTACAAATACGAAGAACCTTTGTGATGAATCGATAAATAAACTGCTTACCAAAAGAAAAAAAAATCAGCAGGAATTTAAGATGAAAGTGTTCTGTTTAAAAAAAAAACTATTAATTGTTCTCAACAAATTAAAAAATTAGTTATAATGTTCGTGAAAAGATGGCGACCCTTATTGAGAAGAACTATTTCATAATGTTTTTTTAAGGAAGGAAAATAAATAAAAACTACTACCAGGACAGAAGTAATTGACGATAGTTGAAATACTTCAGTTGGAATAGCTTAATATTTTTCAATAAACGATGTTTTATAGTTTTCATGATAATTTTGAGGCTAATTAAAAACATATTCTCTGCCTTTCACAGACAGAATGTTTTGATTTTTTCATTCCTTTCCTTTTTTAAGCTGATTTTACAAGCTTCAGGTCACTTTTGAAATACCCGATAACTAAAAAATGAAATATCATCTTACCTCAGGATAAAATGGTGCTAAATTAAGATATTCACATGGATCATTTCTAATGTTGAATAAACTAGGCCTATTGTCTGGAAGACAATCAACAGTGTTTTCCTTCAAATATTCGCTGCATTTAACCAGAGATTCGCTGTACCACTTATCAATGTCTTTAGCAAACCATTGTCCTGTTTGTTTCAAAATGTCTCCCACAACACTTCCTTTACTGAATACCCATTCGCCCATTGACTCACCTACATTGATATCTTCTGTACCCGTAGGACCATACCACCCATCATATCCTTCCCCATTGGTTCCATTGACTATTTTCCAATCACCACTTCTAAAGGCTGAAAAACCGACAATGGGATCCAATCCATGAAGTAGATCTGTTCTTGGAGATGGTCTGCCAGTTAAAAGCGAAGGCCACATATTGTGCCCATCCAGATATCCCAAGTCATCTGGATTTCCTCCTGTAAGATTATACGATATATTCATTAATTGAATATGGCATCTTAGGTGATTTCAAAGATCCTAATCAAATCTGAAACGCATAATAAAAAATTTATTAAGCAAAAAGTACATTTAAAGAATGGATTTTAAGCAAATGGTGAATAATCTATCTTTATCTTAATTCAAAATGTAAGTTTTGAAAGCCTTGACTCATTTCATATAAAAGTTGCATGAATTATTTTCATTAAATTTTTTCTTTATCCTATCTAAGCTAGTTGTTATGAAAAATATGAAAAATATGTAACTGAGTAACTAACGAAAATTTTTAAGGAAAAGTACTTTGAACAGCTTAATTTCATTTCAAAGTTCAAACAAACCGCTTACATTTGGTGAATTTAAAAATTGCGCATGTTGCTTAACAAATATCTTTCCAAGTATTGCCAATTCAGATTTTATTAAGCATTATCAATTCAGGCTTTCGTGTATTTTGTTCTCTGCAAGAAATATCTGATCACAAAATAAATTATCTTGAAGAAATCTAAACCTTCCTTTTAGCTTTTGCTTTTTGATTTTGGATAACAATGTAAAGTGATTCATTTACGTTTAAGAAAAGATAGAAAAGAATATTGGCTACCATGTCACGTATTCGAAGAATCACTTTAATTAACTAGTTTTTGAACCAACAGAAACCAACATCCAAAAAAAAATCGGAACTCTTCTGCTAAATTTTTGACTGAGAATGAGGAAAAAAAAATTTTTTGTTTGGCGATGATCTCGTGAGCACTCAGGATATGTACAAGACGAACACTGAAAAGGAAAATAATTAAAGCCTTCGATGTTCTACAAGAAAGGAAGAGTGGTAGGAAATTTGCATCGGTGGGAATATGAAAAAAGCTCCTTAGGTATCATTTACAAAAAATATATGCATTTGTTATACGAAAAAGATATTAAAAATGCGCAAGACTTTGAAAAAACAAATATAGAAAATTATGGGGCAAACTTAATTCATGAATAAGTAGCTTTTTATGATAATGAATTGATTTCATTAGATTTCAAGAAGAGTATAAAATTTTGCGGCCATCTGATAGAGTATATATATTCATTTCAGAACTTAGTTTTTTATTGATTACTCAAAAAATAAAATCTGTTTATTTTATTACCCTTTTTTCCCAACAAAATCGATAAAAAATCTTTAATTTTAATTACTTTATAAGTTATCCCTATAAACTAACAATATATCTTCATGTGAGTGTATATTTATTCACTGTTATAAGTTACTAACGTTACCTAGCTCTGAGTAAGTTGTTAAATGCACTCATGTGTGGAAGAAATCAACGTCTACAAATTACTCAGCGTTGAGCATAGCAGTTATTAAAAGTAAAACAAATTATTCATGAAGAGTTACAAGCTACCTTTCATTTTGTAATAAGCTTATTTGTTGTCTTATTTCCATGAAAATTGATATATCATAAAAATGTAATTATGGCTCATTTTCGATTGAGAATTTTTTTTCTTTAATAATTAGCTCTATTTTTCTTTAATGTGTCGATGAACTTAGAAATAATTTTCGTCAATTTGTTCAGAAATAGGATTTTAAAAGTGTTATTCAATGTATTGTAGATAATCGTTTAGCGAACCGAGGGTCACATGTCAATTTTTAGTGAATGGCAATATAGTAGTCATAAAAAAGTGTACCCTGCATACAATTATTTCTGGAAATATTTATAGTAAAATTATATTTCTGAGTGTACTTCATATTAATGTCGAAACACTTTAAAAAGTTGCTCACGAAAATAAATATAACATTTGAAAACAGAAGAAAAAACTTTATTATTAATGAAAAACTTGTCAGAATAGTGTATCAAGTCAACTATTTAAAAAAAATGGAATTAGCCTTGTTAAATACAAGTCGTTATCGTATTTTTAAATTTCTTACATATTCTGATTTCTGTGGCTTCTTTCTATAAATCAGGGAAAGTATAGGGGGCAAGATACATTCATTAGACTTTAATTAATTTCTGTAAAATAAATAATTATAGAGTAAGACCACTTTTAACATATGAATTTTACATTTTTTTAAAGTTTGTCAAGTAATTTTAAAAACTTATTTCAATTTTATTCTGCGAATAAAGTTGATATGATTATAACAATTTAAGCAAATTACTTATTAATAGCAACTTGTTTCATAATTCTTCAATGACACATGATCATAATAATGACACCCATAATGTTATATCACCAATTCTTCAATAATGGCTATTTTATTTTATTTTTCGTTTTATTTTTGATGCAGCAGTGAAAAGCCTACTCATTTTTGGGGATTCGACTATCAGTGTTAAACTCTGTAGTTTTTATAATTTTGAACGTAATTGAGAAAATAAAGGAATACCTGGATCAAGTATTAGGACAAACTATTAGACTTTTCATGGAACTAAACCTCATTCACGATATATGGAGGGCAAAACCACGATCCCACGGTACCCCAAGAAAAGGCGAATCTAACTAATGATCCATCCATCACTAGGGTATCTTACGTTAGCACTATGGTCAGTGTTTGCCAGAAGCACCATTCATCACCCTTTCATAGCTGGGCTTAAAACACTTTAACGTCTATTGTAAAAAACATGTGGTTTTCATCTTCAAAAAAAATCACTGAAATGTATTGCTTTAAATTAAGTTTTTCAGAAATAGGATCACAATACTTGACGCATATTCCCGACAGATTAATCTCAACCAAAAAGATTCCACTGATTTGGCTAAATGTTTCATATTTTTTAAATATCAAACAATGCAGCTAGTGAAGAGCAATGCAGCAAGAAGAGAGTGAAATGATAACAAATAGCCAATCACAGAACACTTGCGGTTAGTAACGCACAAAACAGCCAATTAAAATTGAGAACGCATGTGTGTGAAAAGGTAATAATTTTTACTAATGCTGCTTGCTAAAATGTTACAACTAAACTTACGACCTAAAGCTGAATGGATCCAGTTTTTCCAAATTCATTTCAATATTGTTTTGGTTGTCATGAACTTAAAATTAACAAAAGTTGTAAAGGTATTGTTCTCTTTTAAATATTTCTGTATCCCTAATTTAAAGTTATTTTTCAGTAATGCTATTACTAGCAAAAATATTAAACTATGGTTGTGAGCTCATCAAATTTGTTTGAACAATATAATGTTATAAGAATATAATGTTATAAAAATATAAATGTTATTTTAAAAAATGATTACTTCGAAAAATCACTTCTGTTCATCAAGAGATCTAAATCTTTATAATACTAATAGATAGTAATATTTGGACGCGGGAAGTAGAGGCACAAGCGCAAGCAAACAGAATTCCTTTCAGTACATAGATGTTAAGTGAATAATTTAAACTTTCGTAGAAAAACTGTTTTTTGCCATGAAAAGACAATTATTGCGAAGAAATCTCTTCGGGGTTGGTGAGCGGAAGCGAACAGGGGGCTGAACCTCCTAGTATATATATATNTATATATATATATATATATATATCATACACAGGATATGCAGAAATAGAAATATTTAATAATACTTCTGGTCCCTGCTTTACTGAAATGTCCCCAACTCATACTTACGGTGATTTGAGTGGTTTAGTAACCGCCGAACAGATTTTAAATTATTACTAAAATTCAATGCCTAGAGAACTTTGACAATATCTCGGACAACAATCGAAAATAGCTAATATTGAAATCAAGTACTTCCACGCGGTAAGAAGCTAGACAGTGAAAAAATTTGGTTAATAAAACTAATTTATGTGCATGGTTAGAAGAGGGGTTTAAGAATTAGAATATTTTAATGCAGTGGTACTCTCTGTGCATTCGATTTGGTTACAATTAAAGTTTTTATGTTGCACAAGATCATTTTGAAATTTGGCCAAACTGGTTGCCAAAGCAGTGATATAAAAGACACATTTTTTCTCAAAATCTTTTAAACATTAAACTTACTGCAAACAAAGAAAAGCAAACAAAAGGACTAAAAAATTTAAAATAAGTGTACCTGCAGCGAAATAAAGAGTTGGTAGCCAATCAGAGACATGCATTAACTGATTTGATATTATCGAATCACTCAGTTTCAGAAGTGGACTCCATATGAGGGCAGGTAGCCGAACACCTCCTTCCCATAGAGTTTTCTTCTTACCCCTCAATGGATAATTAGAGGAATATCCACCCATTAAACCATCTACCTGCCCTCCATTGTCAGATGCAAAAATAATTATGCTGTTGTCCAACATATTCCTTTGGTGCAAAGTTTGAATAATCTCGCCAACAGAATCATCCAGTACCGATGTCACGGCTGCAATATTAAAAATGAGCATTATTTTTTTCTGTGTTTAATAAGAGTAATAAGAAAAGTCTCTGTGATAGTATTGCCTTTGGTGTATCGAACGTCAAATTAAAAGTTGAATGTTGAAAAACATTGGATTACTAGTTACACCAACATAAAGTTGCTCCAATTCCTAAAACGGGAAGATGGTCAGTCTTGAAGTAAGATGCTATTTGATGGACTTTTATGATGGTAACCATTTTATTCATGTTGGCCCATCATAGAAAACCCAGTCATAAACTTTGTTTTGGGTAACCAGAACTACAGTAATTTTAAATTAAGGTCCAAATAAGAACTAGTATAATCGTACTTTTGTCGTGAGAGCTCATCACTTGAGTGAGAGCTCATCTTCTTCTCACTCATCACTTGAGTGAGAGCTCACTTCTGTTGTGAAAGCTCATCTAAACTGCTACTGGTAAGGGCTGCCCAAGACAAAATTTATGATGTTTTTTCTTAGATGGACCAACATTAATAAGATAGTAACCATCATGAGATTCAATTAAAACCATCTAAATTTTATGATAGTACCATCAAGACTGACCATCACCTCATATTAGGAATTGAAACAACTTTATGTTGGACCAATATGAACAAAACTACCATGGTTTGATGGTATTTTTCGATGGTCTAACAAAAAAATCTATCAAAAACCAACAGAGTTTAATGGTATTTTTGATGGCCCTAAAAAAACTCATCAGGAAGCAACATATTTCGATGGTATTTTTCAATGGTCCTAAAAAAAACCATCAAGAACCGATATAGTTTGATGGTATTTTTTGATGGACCAACAAACAAATTCATCAGAAACCAACATATTTTGATGGTATTTTTCAATTGTCCTAGAAAAAAAATCCATCAAGAACCGACATGGTTTGATGGTATTTTTTGATGGACCAACAAACAAATTCATCAGGAACCATCATCTTTTGTTGGTTTCCAACTTACATTCCATAGGGTTCAAACATCGTGGTGACTTTATACAGCTTCAGATCGATGGGTACTAATTTGGTTGGTAAATAAAGTCAGCCACTCCACAATACTGACTGCATTGTTACCTTCATGCCTGAGTCCTCGAAATTGTGGAGAATTTAACCCCTGTGTACTACTTGTTTTAAAGGAGAGATTCACTTTAATTTTATTTTCTGCAATTTATGAATAAGAATAATAAATGTAATACAACTAAGAATCAATATAATTAAAAAAACAATACAGCTTAAAAAGTATCACTTAGATGTTAGACAATATAGCATTTTGATAGAAAATCAAATATCCAGTGCTTTTTTTGTGGAGGGGGTATTTTCGAAATCAAATCCAATCTATTCTTCGAAATCAAATCTAATTCACTGCAGATTTTGTCACTAATAAAAAAGGAAGCATTACAGAAATATACATCAAAGAAATAATTTGTACTAAATATTGGAAAACGAGCAGTAGGGAAGTATTCTAAAGTGTATAATGAATTTGATTAGGGGTTTTAATTTTAAGCATTTAACTATTTGTTCTAATTTCAATAATAATAGTTTAAATAATAATATTAAAGCAGCCTAAAAAGTGCTATGCAGAGATATTAGTAAATAATGTTTAGTAATAATGGTTCCTATAAATCTTAACAGTGGTATCTCATGGATTTGTTTATAAAAACAATAGAAATAAACTTTAAATATGAAGCTTATTAACAAACGAAATAGAGATACGCGAGAAGCCTAATCTCATGACAAATTCAGTCGTTATCGGTCTAAATATAGCTGCACGCTTTTAAGAAATACGAAATTATCAAAATAAAGCTTATTGGCAACTCTATCTCTAGATTAACCAAATAATAATCAAATAATAAATTCCTACATTACACTCTTTATTGTGCCTTCAACCAAGTTACGAGTTTTAGTAAAATACACACTCAGATTGGAATGTGTATTTTCCCTCCGGTTCCATTTCGTGAATTGTTTTTTGTCTTTTTAGCTTCTTTTTCTCTATTTTCTTCGAATTCCGATTTTTGTTTTCCATCTTCAATCAACGAACTTAAACCCTTCGCAAAATATTCCTCATAATTTTCACTTACTATTGTGTATTTTCAACCCTATCTGAACCGCAACAATCTTTAAAACTCCCATCTTGCTTTTCGCGCAAGAAATGCAATCTTTATAATTGGTAATACAAACAGTCTAGTTCGAAATCGAAAATTATTACGGAATAATTAAATTCAAAAAATACACTTTGATGGTGCGAGACTGTGATGGCGATGATTCTTATCTCCCAGATAAAATTAAAGAGAACAATTTAAACGATTATACTTAACATTTATCATCAGAAAATAAATAAATAATAATAATAATATCTAGTAAGATTAATTTTGTTAAGTAAAGCTAAATTCAAACATTAATTTCATGTTTTCTATATGGCAGCGTAATACATTCAGTTATAAGCATTCAAGCTTCTATAAAACTCTTTTTCCCTTAAAAAAGTCTTAAAATGTTTGAGAAACAAACGAACAGCAGACAGAAGCAGAATGTTTCAGAAACAAATGAGAAGCAGACTCTTAGATGTATTTTTAAAAATAATTCATAGCGCTCCTGGTTCTTTTTTTTTAAAGTTTTCTTAAATAAAAGAAATTACAACGAAATATTTCGGAAACAAATCTGAGACCCAAATTAGTGACGTGTATGCGTAAGCACAAAACGATTGGGGTTATAAGAGTAATTTTTTCACTAATGTAAGCTCAAGAATTTGGGGAAAATGTCTTCATAGGTTGAAGTTAATTTTACTTGAAAAAAAAATTCATTGATAGGAAAAAACAGTGTGAGAAGACACTTACCAGCTTGTATTCTACGGTTTATATTTTTGATGTATTTAAACTTTCTTATAACCTCTGCCGGGGCTTCAACAGGATTAAAGTCGTTGCCAGACGAATGAACTGCTAAGTGCGATAAATACAAGAACAAGGGCTGAAAAAAAAATTCTTCTTACAAAATAATACAAATGGGTTTGACAATAGTCACTTATTTTTGAGGACACAGTTTTAAAATGTCTCAAAAGTCTAACAATTTGGGTAGGTAGGTATTTATTTTTCGTCTCACTGGAGCTAATGGCGACGGTCTGTGAAACATCCCCGAGGATGATCGGAAGACATGCTATCACAATTTTGCTCTTCTGCAGATGGTTCTCCGCTTTGTTCCTCCGCTCTGGTAACCCCACGACCTGCGCGAAGTCGAGCACTTTAAGATAGAATAGTTTAACGAGGACCGAGACCGCGCACTCTCGGTGCTAACAATTTGAAAATAAATTTAAGTGAAATGGGAGAAGAGAGCTATAATTGTATGGATTGCTATGTTCGGTAAAGATCATCAAAAGATGGCGCTGCTTATTCGATGAAATAATGATTCGATGAACAAACTAATTCTCTCTAACTCTGCTAATTCGATGAAGATACAAAGTCTAACATAATTATTAAGTATGTATTTTAAATGGCAAAATATAAAATTTGAATAAAATGAGCCACATAATTACCCTTTCAACGTTGCTCTCACAGTCAGGACAGATAGTACAGAGAATGAAAGAACATCCATGCCTTGTTCGGGATTCAAACCAATGACTTTTCTGATGTGAGGTCCGCTCTCTGAGCACTACACAGTCCGCTCGACAGATATTTAACATTAAGGAGTTCAAACTTTCGACCGCTTTCTTGATTAAAGTATTAAGATCATATTTTCCTGATTACGCCGGTATTTTAAAAGAATCCAAATCATGACAAAAATATTAAAGTTCGTTCTTGTGTTTAACTTTGTTCATAAATATATCGCTTGCTGAAATTAACTAGCATATTTAAGATTGGCCCTTTGAACCATTAAAATTGTATCTAATCACGCCAAAATTCGATTCTTAGACCAAAAATTATTAAGGTGACCATATGAATAGTAATTTGGTACCCTTATACATATTAATATACACATTACATGAGTTTTACATACTTTTAAGTAATAGTAAATAAATAAATACATAGTCACAACTCAATTTAGTTGGTATTCGAATCCTAAAAAAGGTTACTTTATAGAGTAAACCATGCCAATTTTGGAGATAACACGATAAACTGGTAACTGGAAAGTCATCAAAGTAGCAACCATAAGCTTTTCCTTTCGAAATTCTTTCCCGCCTTTTTTGTGTTTGTTACGTATTTGTTTGATGCAATGGCAAATGCAAGAGAAATGCGAATATGAAATTTACCGACTAGTGAAAAAGATGTCGTGGCCTTTCTACAAAAATACATTTTACCAGACATTTGATAATGTTATTATAGATAGCTCCGGTGGCATTTATTTGCGGGGGATGTTATTTTACGTAGCCAATATGATTGTCAGCGTGTAAGTATCCCAAAAAGTTACAAATATTTAAGTTTTTTAAGTTACCTCTGTAGAATCATGATTCGAAATTATGTTTCTAGCTTTTTCGGTGAAAACATGAGTGGCATATTGACCTCGAAAATCTCTTATCAACCTTGTTTGATTGTAAAGATCAATTCCAAAGTATTTCTGAAAAAAAGCAAAGTGAATTAATTAACAAAATATAAATATGAAACGTTCCGTGAACCTGATATACACTTTTAATTTCTCCTTATTATAAATTTTTATTATTTGAAATCAAATGTATTATTTCTTAAACTGCTGATGAAAATAATATTTATATATATATCTCTTATGAGACACCAGAATCATTGACGTTTTGGAGCCTTGGGAACAATTACCGCTACCATTCCCAAAGCGCTGGCTCAGTCTTTGAATGGCGAACATTCTGTAAATGAAAGTGGTAGGTAAGTACTTTATTTGCCTCGTACTAGAGCTGTACAATAAGTTATTGGCGGTGGTAGGGAAATGGTTCTGAGGATGATCCGAAGATATACTATCCCAATTTTGTGAGGCAACTTATTCAATTTAGACCTAGATCTGAAGGGGGAGGATATTTTCTCCAGATCTCTGCTCCTATGTAATTGCTCAGCTGCCAATCGTTGGACCTTATTAAATGAGTACGTATATCGCATGTTCTCATTGGACCTTAGAGCAGTTGAGGATCGAACTCTGTCCGCTCTGGACCGGAGTCCGATTCTCTAAGAATTAGGCAACCACGGCCGCTTAATGAAATTTCTTCGTCTTTCGTATGGAGTAAAAAAGTGAATCGATAAATCATAATCAGTTTGAACAACATTACGAAAGCGTGCACAAAACTGAAAGACAAATACCGACATAATTAATAAAGCTAAAATTCGAATGCCTTTTTATGTGTAATAGTTTGACGTCCTTCCCGGTAACTTAAAGTTCTTAGTTTAAGCTAACACACATTTTAAATAGGTCATCCCTTCAAAATAAAGTTTAACTTTATTCAGCATCATTTACCTATAACGATGTTACCTGACACTAAGTCAGATAGATCATATTTTGATTGATAAAAGACACCGAAGTAGTCTAATCGATGTGCGTAGTTATAGGGGTGCAAATATTGGCTCTGATCACTTTCTAGTTATGTTTAAAGTGAGAGCAAAGATTAGCAGAGCATTTACAACAAACAAGCACCAGGAAGGCCGGGATAGCCTGGTCGGTAGGGTGCTGGGCCCATGTCCAAGAGGTCGTGGGTTCGATCCTCGCCGGCCGAAGACTCCCCGTGTAGTAAATGGTGACTGATGCACGTTAAATCTGTCGAGTCTCAAAGTCCTCCATGTTCCCATAACAAATCAATACCTCTGGGGGTACTGATCCAGGAGTTTCCTTGTCTTCTGGATTGGTTCAAAATTACAAGGCTACGGAGTTGAACATTAGTAGTCGTAAACCCATGAAATTGGGTCGGCTGTTCAACGACGGTTATAAAATAAAATAAAACAAGCACCAGGAGGTCAGAAAATTGGATTGCAATGAATTAAAGAAGCCTGAAATCATAGGAAAATATAGTAATTGTCTAAAGGAAAGTTTTACAAGAAAAGATTACGTTGAAACCAAGAAACACCAATAGAGTGATGTTGCGGTTATTAACAATGTCGCAAATGAGACACACGGTATGGTATGGCAATTCAAGAAAGGTATGGCTTCACAAAAGGTATGGCAATTTTTTTCTTATTCTCTAAATAAAATCCTTAAAAAATCCTGCCGTAAAAATTTATGGAACTATATTTTCAGCCTTATATCCGACCATTTCATCTAAAATATTATCAAGACCATCCGTTAAATTTATCTTCAAATTACACAACATTATTGCTCACAAATGGTTGCAAATTTGAACACATTTTTAGTGTATTAACATTTTAAGACGCCATTTTTTGAATAGCTTCGTAACAAGTTTTGATTGAAAAAATTTTTTACGTTAACTAAATTAATCAACTAATTCTGATAATAAAATTAATTAAGTTAAAGGTCCAATCGAAAATCGTCTGATCGAAAAATTAACTTCTTCTCAGAGCAGAATTCATTAAATTGTTTTTTCTATCCCATCTTTCTTCAATTTAAACCTTATTTTTGGGATCATAAAGTATGTAACTTTTTGTAATGTAAAATTATGCATACTTACAGGTATATCAGGAAGTTCAGTTATAACTTGTGAGGTATAATCATAGTAATCTAGCAAACCGTTGTAATAACCAAAAAATGAATCGAACCCTCTATATGTTGGAGTATATTCTTTTGTCATATATCCAAGATGCCACTAAAATACCAATTAAATTTTTACATTATTTCATGTCAACTACTTTGTTAAATACATTGCACTTTAATGTTTAACATTAGAACCATGTTTATTTTTCTAATAGTTTCTGAAGCAATTAAACATTATATTGTTTTGCTTGTTAGGTTAAATATTTTACATAAAATTAACATATATGAGTAAAATTTTAAATTTTTATGGATTCATTGTTTGATGACATACTCATTTAGGAATAAATTTTAATTTTATTTATATTTTTAAGCAACATAGAAGTTTCCAAATCTCTGCTATTCAACATAATCACTTTTACGTTTTCGCTTTTGATCACTTACGTCGATTTCATATTTAGTAAATTTTTTAAAGAAATTTAAAATTTTAAATACATTTTTCAGCACAGTTTTCATGATTATATATAGGTTTCAAAGAACAAACCATGTTTTTTTTTCAATGTGGAATAAATAATTCATGTTTGAAAGGTAATTGCAAATAATTTGTTTATAATTTTGCTAACTTGAAAACTAATTATTTGAAACAGAAATAATATGTACCTTCCCAATCATGTGAGTTGAATAGCCCAATGATTTCAAGTGTTGAGGTAACGTTATCTCTTTTAGTGGTAGGCCACTTTTTTCTCCGGGTTTTAATACACTGTGTTGGAGACCTGAAATTTCAGAAAATATTTGTAACAATCAAATACGAAAAGGGATGCGGTACATACCATGCAACTGAGGAGAGGGGGGGGGGATTGCCAAAACATAGAATTGGTCTTCTCTCCAAATGGCGAATTCGGGCTTTGCGATCTCTAATTTCTGTTCATATCTGGCCCCGTCCGCGTAATATAGTGAAACTTATTATGATGATGATGTAGTAAATGCTATTATTACGATAATATAATTTTATTTTACCTAATCTAATAGGATATTTCCCAGTGAGAAGAGCTGCCCTTGAGGGAGTGCACAAAGGTTCTCCGTAGTAGTTGTTCAAAAGAATACCATTCGCCGCCAAGGCGTCTATGTTAGGAGTCGGAATTTCTGGAGATCCATGGAAACTCACATCATTCCATCCCTAAGAATTTAGTAAAGACGATTTATTTTAACGAAATTAACGTTATAGTTATATTTTAGAAGTTGTAATGAAAAGAAATATATGAAGAAAAGTTTTATTATCAAACTAGGATTTGTGTAAATACATACATTTAATTGATTATTTCTGTAAATTTAATTTAATTAATAAATTACGTTTGGACACAGTTTTAGTTCCTTAAATGTTTTTTACATAAAAGTAAGCAAAATATTAAATATTTATCTTCATTAAATTTCACTTTTCTCGACGTGGTTAACTACTATGATTACCTTCATAAAACTTGATTGCTTTAACATATTCTGTCACCTGTACTTACTTTCTTTAGTCGTCTGTTTTCAGAAAAATGCTTGAAATAATTGTAAATTAAGTTTAGGAAAAAAAAAGATTTTATAGTAACTCCGTGATTGGACACCTGTAAGCGACGTCACCGTAGATAAATCATAGCATTTGTTTTTCGGAAGCCAATCAGGTTCGAGACACATGCTTACAGGTATCCAATTAAATCTTATTTAACCCATGTAGTTAGGCACAATCAATTCACTTCTTCTTGAGTTGCAAGTACCCAATTAAAAAGGTATAAAGATAATACACTGAAGAGCCAAAATAACTGGTATACCTGCCTAATATCGTGTAGGGCCCCAGCGAGCTCGCAGAAGTGCCGCAACATGACGTAGCATGGATTAGATCAATGTGTGAAGTAGTGCTGGAGATAATTGACACCATGAATCCTGCAGGGATGTCCATAAACCAGTGGGAGTAAGAGGGGGTGGGGATATCTTCTGAACATCACGTTGCAAGGCATCCCAAATACGTTCAATAATGTTCATGTCTGGGAGTGGATCCAAGAGCACTCTTCTGAATTTAGCCACTTCCGCTGGTCACCAAAATCCAGTTCAGAAGACAAAGGAACTCCTGGAGCAAATATTGGGAGAAATTTGCCTTCGTGGAAGACTTTTTTGATAGAACTAACCCGCACTTGCGTTACTCAGGGATGTAAACCACGAAAATCTCCCACGTTTAGCCTGAGGGCAAGGGGAATCTAACTCATGATCCGTGTACCACTGAGGATATTTTTATGTCAGCACTGTGATCGGTACGAGCAGGTTGCAGAATTTCTATCGAAAAGTCATCGATGGGATTCGAACTCGGTTCACCTCATTGGAAGATGAATGCTGTATCCTCTGAACCACCACGGCTCTCTCAATGGAGATAACTAGGATCAATTGTACACAAGTCCTATTTAGGCTAAATAGTAGCGGAAAAATGTAGGCTGAAATCGGCCACTCTTGGTACGCTTAATATCGCATAATTAAAGGCTATAAAATATCGGGTGCATTGAACAATCTTATCTAGACAAAATATTGGAGTATGACGGACTCCCTAGCTCTTTATACAATCAACATTCGTGAATATTGATCCTATTATAACAAAATTAGGATGTTACTAAGGCTATGATGTCCCAAACTCCTATTAACAGTAAGCCAGGTATCGTACCTAAAGTTTTCCCCAATTTTTAATGCTGTAACTGGGTCCTAGCATCGAATGTTTAATATCTTTAAAATTATGGTAACAACATCTTAACTCGTGTATATGGTTAGCTATTTTCTTTATTTATTTACTAAATCAATGTTTACATCAACTTGCCTTCGTGTATGTCTGTTCGGTTGGAATTTTGCAATCGATTTTAAACTGACTTCCCGACTATTCAAATTTGACTTCAAATTTGGCACATAGTTCAGAATTGGATGACAATGCATGAAAATGAAGAGAAAAAAGGCATACAAAAGAAAAGAAAATTACAATTAGAGAAAAATTAATATTTTCGCGATTGTCTTTTGTTGTCGATTCGATTATTTCAAATTAGTGTCACATGTCAGTTGAAAAGTTTTGTGTACAGTGAGTGAGAAAATTTAGATTTTGGAAGTGAGTACAAAAAAAATAAAAATAATATTTTTAAAAACCACGTTTTTGTAGTGGAGAATAATACTTAAAAAACAAAAAATTTGGAAGACGAAAAACGTGGGGAGCATGAAATACATAACAGTACATATACACATTTTCTTACTCATACGCATGCACAACCACATACACATCCACATCATCCACATTCAGATACAATTACAGATATACATACACGTATTCTCATGAGCACACATACTGTTACTGTTATGTATTTCATGCGCCCCACGTTTTTCGTTTTTCAAATTTTTGTTATTTAATTGTTATTCTCCACTACAAAAACGTGGCTTTTAAAAATATTATTTTTATTTTATTTATTTGTTTGTTTGTTTGTTTGTTTGTTTGTTTGTTTGTTTGTTTGTTTGTTTGTTTGTTCGTTCATTTATTTATTTTGAGAAAATTGAATCATGAAATTTACCAAATCATCCGCATATATTAGAATAATATGGGGAGACCTATTCAGAATGCCTTCTCCTCCGGTAGTTGAAAAAAGCACGAAAAGGAGAAATGTTAGAATATTCTTCATAATGTCGATCATTCAGCAAATGGCTCTTGAAAGACTTAACTGCAATAAGAAAATGATCTTGTTAATGTACGAAAATGATATGCATGAACTATATAAGACTGTCGAGCAAATATATTTAATCTTACATCATTAAAAGACCCTTAATGAACCAAATGACAGACCACGAGTTAATGTGTTCAAAAAATTCTGTTTCCTTTCTTTTTAAGAACAACATCCTGAAAATCAATATACATAAAATGCTAACTCGTTTCGTTCTGTATAAATTAAATTGCAACATTAATTATAAATGTTGATGAAAAATATTTGTATAAAATGATACGCAAAATCCCGAAACATGACGCAATTTAGCATGAATCTTGATAAATCTGGCTAAATTAGGCGGGTTTTGCAACTTAGAAACAAAATAAAAAGTAAATTCGCTTTAATGAAGAAAAGCAGCATAATGTATACAAATTTTATTTTAAAATCCAATATAAGAGCAATATGTTTTTTTAAAACCAAAACATAGAATTGGTCTTCTCTCCAAATGGCGAATTCGGGCTTTGCGATCTCTAATTTCTGTTCATATCTGGCCCCGTCCGCGTAATATAGTGAAACTTATTATGATGATGATGTAGTAAATGCTATTATTACGATAATATAATTTTATTTTACCTAATCTAATAGGATATTTCCCAGTGAGAAGAGCTGCCCTTGAGGGAGTGCACAAAGGTTCTCCGTAGTAGTTGTTCAAAAGAATACCATTCGCCGCCAAGGCGTCTATGTTAGGAGTCGGAATTTCTGGAGATCCATGGAAACTCACATCATTCCATCCCTAAGAATTTAGTAAAGACGATTTATTTTAACGAAATTAACGTTATAGTTATATTTTAGAAGTTGTAATGAAAAGAAATATATGAAGAAAAGTTTTATTATCAAACTAGGATTTGTGTAAATACATACATTTAATTGATTATTTCTGTAAATTTAATTTAATTAATAAATTACGTTTGGACACAGTTTTAGTTCCTTAAATATTTTTTACNGTTTGTTTGTTTGTTTGTTTGTTTGTTTGTTTGTTTGTTTGTTTGTTTGTTTGTTTGTTTGTTTGTTTGTTTGTTCGTTCATTTATTTATTTTGAGAAAATTGAATCATGAAATTTACCAAATCATCCGCATATATTAGAATAATATGGGGAGACCTATTCAGAATGCCTTCTCCTCCGGCAGTTGAAAAAAACACAAAAAGGAAAAATGTTAGAATATTCTTCATAATGTCGATCATTCAGAAAATCGCTCTTGAAAGACTTAACTGCAATAAGAAAATGATCTTGTTAATGTAAGAAAATGATATGCATGAACTATATAAGGCTGCACAGCAAATATATTTAATCTTGCATCATTAAAAGACCCTTAATAAACCAAATGACAGACCACGAGTTAATGTGTTCAAAAAAAAAATTTCATTTCTTTTTAAGAACAACATCCTGAAAATCAATATATATACGATGCTAACTCATTTCATTCTATATAAATTAAACTGCATGAAAACATTGATTATAAATGTTGATGAAAAAAAATTGCATAAAATGATACGCAAAATTCCGAAACATGATGCAATTTAGCATGAATCTTGATAAATCTGGCTAAATTAGGGGGGTTTTGCAATTTAGGAACAAAATAAAAAGTAAATTCGCTATAGTGAAGAAAAGCAGCATAAAGTATACAAATTTCATTTTAAAATCCAATATAAGAGCAATATGTTTCTTAAAACCACTTTTCAAACAAAATTTGCAAAAGAACATTCTCTTGTACAAATTTTGGTGTCGTTCCTTCCAAATCCTCCAGAATGTTTATCTTTGGAATTCGTACTTTAATTTTTCTTCTTTTTTTTTGTAATCTAGTTTAAAATCAATATTACAAGTAGTTTTTCAGACGGTTTTCTTTGCTAGATTCAAAATGCCTATTTTATAGATAAGCAAAAAGTTCATAGATAAGCAAAAGTAAATTAAATTTTGAAATATAAATCTGAAATGATGGAACAAAAACGTTAGGCTCCGAGGTCAAAAAAAGGTACCTTTGAACTATCACACTATATTCAATTTCTTTTAACCGGAACCAACAGTCGGACTATTTGGTCATTTACAAATTGAATATTTTAATAGACGAACAAGTAAAATTGCAGAATTTACGAAAACACGAAGTAGCTATTTAGAAAAGATCATGTTCCCATCATTATTAAGCACTTTATAGACCACGCCGGTAACTACCTTACGCAGACTTAGTACTTTATGATTAGATGGTGTGGAGAATGGACAGAGTAGTATAAAAGTATGACTATGAAGAGCACTGGCTACAGATAGATCTGTATGGCATAAGCTGTTTGGGACAGCAGGCAACCGATTGCAGTTCTGATAGAATAAGTGCAACCTTATTTCGAAACTGGAAAAAATTACTGTTCTATGCTGTGCACAAAAGAAGGCATATTCTTAAGCCGAAATAACCCATAAAACCAAAATTGTTGAGCGTATTAAAATATCTCAGTATCTGATATATTGTCTTAACGTCATAATTTTAAAATTGTATTACCTGGCCACGAGTGATTCATAGTACTATTTAACCAATTATTTCATTATATTTTTTCATTTTTCAAATTCTCATTCTTTTAGCTACTAAGTAGATTTTTTTCCGATAGTATACTAATCTATTTCATTTAATTTTTATTAGTATTTGAAGTTTTTGTTTAAACACTATAATTGTTCTAAATAATTGTCACGTTCTTTTTCAAGCCTCAGAATTATAGCAAATTAGCTGACCACAAGATATTATTGTGGTATAAGTGTGTTATCAGGCAAATGCCTTATTTCGTTAAACAAAAAATACTAAAAGTGAAAAAGTTAAATAAATTTTCCATAGTCTTGCCAGTTTTAGAATCTCAAAAATCAATAAATTTAGGTTTTTCTCAACTAAACTAGGATTTATTGATTTTTTTTAGATTTCAAGTTATTTTATTGTTGTAATAGGTATTTTGGGAAAATTTTAAACTCTTTAGTTGTATATCTCTCGATTTCCCTGTACAAGGTGGAAGGTACCATTTCATTTAACTAACATCCCGCTCTTTTCCCGTTCATGGTTTCCTTTCACCTTTTCTGTCATGTTCAATTGTTTTAGATCTGCGCTAACAGATAGCGCGATTTGTCCATATTTTGTGAAATATATAAGCATATTTTAAAACAGCTTACGTGGTCTTTTCAAAATGTGCTGTCTGTTGCTTAAAAAAGTAAACCTGGCAACAACAAAAAATTACAAGGTAACACAAATTTAGGGCCAAGTTTTCAAGGTAGGACTTTGCTTTGAGCCCTGTTTCGAATTTTGTCATATTAAACTTAATTTCTAATAAATATTTTGTAACTATTTTGCATAATTTTATTTGTAGATAAGTTTTACCTTTGTATTTCATAAAATATATCATAATCTAACCAAGATTAACTATCAAAATTTTGCTGTTCTGTAATTTTTCTTTAATTTTCAATTTCCGACAGCATTATTCCTTATAATCTTATTCGAAATTAAAAAGAAAATTCCTTTTTAAAAAATTTTTTGAATATTTTAATTCTAAAATATGTGTAGATTTGAAATCTATAATAAAAAAATACGCAATTTTTAAAAGTATTTTCATAAAACGCAGCGAGAGGGTTAACATACTTTTAACAGAAATTATAAATACAATTTTCAATCTCAGAAATCGAAATGTCTGGACATTGATTAAGTTTGCCCTATTTACAAGCTCAAAATGTATAAATTGGTAAATAATTTCCTTTTATAAATAAGGAACAATTATTATTTTCAATTTAGACTTTGATTCAATAGCATTCTAACTGTTGACTGTAATTATTTTTTATTTACATAAATATAAAAGTAGGAAATTTTTTACATTATTTTAACGAATATAATTTTACATTACAAAATACAAAATTTGAGTAAAATCGGTACAATGGTTGCTGAGAAATCGAATTTTAAAAATACGACTTTTTTTAAATACAGTTTTTTTTTAAATTTGATTCCTCATGAACTATTCGACAGATTTCACGAAATTTGACCATTTTGCCATGTAAAATTCAATTCTTTAAATTAATGATAAAAATTGTATACCTTACAATTAAAAATAGTTTTTGACAAATATATTATCATAAAACATACATTAATGATACATTATAACAAACATTATCATAAAAACATACTTATAAAAAAAAATTAAACTAGAAGAGTATAACTTTAAGAACATTACTTACTTAATGAAACCTAACTTTACTTAATTTTTTAATGAATTTAAATTTATCTAACAAATTAATTCTAACAAAAGTAGTTATAATCTTTAACATTCCTTTAAAACAGGGATACATTTTAACAATATCGTTAACAAAATTTGAATGAAGAAGTGAAGTTCAGATGTTTATTTGCATCAAAACCTTACGCTAATAAAGTTTTATGGTTTCGTCTAAAAAAGAAATAGCTTTATAGATAAATATAACGTTTTATGATTTTTCCAGATTTCTGAAACAGGTAAGAGTAGCATAAATAAAATGAGTTTGTATCCATGATTTGCTTGTGCCTCGACCTATATTTCTCAATATACTTTTAAGCTACTCAAAATAGCCGTAAATAACTAACTTTACTTTTTAGAAATGAATATTTTTTTAAAGAAAAGGATGTCTTAATGTAGGATATTTTATTTAAATTGTTACTAAGCATATTTAATCAAAATTCTTATACTAATTTACTTTTCACTTAAAATTTATCATTACACATAATTCTGATGATGAATTTCATACGCACCATTTCTCAGGATTAACTTTTTCCATTCATTTTACTTCGAATTTCTTGCAAAACTTCAAAAAATTTGTAAATAAAAATACAGATAATAATAATGAAAAAATAAATAACGCCAGCAATAAGATAACATTTTAATTTTAGCTCATTATGTTTTAGAAAATTCACTTATTAAAATTGAGGAACAATTTCTAATAGGAAACCTGATGAGGAGCATAATTTCGCGAAATATTTAATACGTATAATATATAATTAAATACAAAGAAACGAATTAACTTTCTTAAAACAAAAAAATTACTGTTAGAAACAAAATAATTTCATAAAAATAACTTACCCATTTAGAAGACTAATGTGTATCCACATAATATTGTGAAATAATAATAATTCATAGAATAAAAGCTTTACTTAAAACCTTTACGTGAAGATACGCTGAGGAAATACTTTTTAATAGTTACTGTTTCTAAAGTCTCCTATAAAGTGATGATATCACACGATTCTGCGCACTTGAAATTATCCAGATGTCTTACTCAATGATTCTTAAAATGCGATGAAATCTTGACTGGAAATTTATTGCTTCATATTAACTTTATCCACGGTTGTGTATCGACATTAGCAGAACGATGAAGTACTAAAAATTTCTTTTTTCGTTGATTTGATGAACCACTTGCTATTTTTCTATCGACTTCTGGGTGGGATTATAAAGAATCTTCTAGCTTTTTGTTACATCAACAGGAACTTGAGTGAAATGTAAGTTCAATTATCCATTTTCTTTCCTTTTTTTTCTGTTTCAAAAAGTGCAATTGCATTTCAAAAGTTTCATTCCTTCATTTTTTTTTTCCTTATTTCGAAATATAGTCTGAACTTTATTTTATGACCCCACGTATTACCAAATTGCCGGCTTATAAGAATTTATGATCTTATTTGAAGAAAACACAAGTCATTTCCACATACGAGGCACAAGTTGGTTTCGAAGTTTTATTCAGCATATAGCAATAAAGAAAACGAAGGAAATAAAAATATGACCACCAAAATCGACGTCTTCAGGGGGTACCGGCCTCGGAAGCCATAAAACAAAACCTTTTCTATTGAGAGAGAGGCAGAGGTAAATGCCAAAAGTAACTCTCTCAGTACCCCGAAGGTTTTGTATAAGTCGAGGAAAAAATACATGAAGTACATAAAACCAATTCAGAAAGGAAATTCAAACAAAAACTTGAGAAAATAAAACTCACATTAAACCGGTCAAACAGCAATTTCACAAGCAAACTAAATGCAAAGGAAACACTTAAAACGAAAAACAACGCCCTCTATTAACATGCGCAGATTGAAAAAAAGAGAAGTAAAAGAGAAGATTACGTAACAAATTAATATAATGCTTAACTGGGGCTTCTCAGTTTAGACTTGAATTGCGCCCTGTTAAAAGAAATAAAAATCTAGTATTCTTCAATCATTTTCTTAATCAAAAAATTAACATTACAAAAGTTAAAAGGAAAAACATTATTACTCAAATTATTCAAAAAATTATTCACAGCCTCCTGAAAACTTTCAACGTAATTGCAAATATTTTTAATCCTAACCAATTGTGAAAAAACTAAATTTTAAAAATTTTATTTCACAGATTAGTATTAAAGTTGCAGAAAAAATTAACTTAAAATTTAAAAGCTTTCCTTTTACCAAAAGCACCAATTTTGATTATTTTTTCAACAATATCAGTTTTAAATTCTAAATATTCAACATTTGAATTGGTTTTATGTGTTTCGTGTATTTTTTCCTTGACTTATACAAAACCTTCGGGGTACTGAGAGAGTTACTTTTGGCGTGTAATTTTGGCTCTCTCAATAGAAAAGGTTTTATTTTATGACTTCCGAGGCCGGTACCCCCTGAAGACGTCGGCTTCGGTGCTCATATTTTTATTTCCTTCGATTTCTTTATTGCTATAATTATTCTTTCTTTTGAAAATTCTGCTACTTTCAAGAGCGTTTCTTTCAAAGAATATTTTGTCAATTTAGAATTAAATATTTTGTATTCTTTTAATATTTTATTCAGCATCTTATAATAAATTCTTAAGTAACAGGGTTTCTTCGCAGGGGCTTGGGGTTAGGCCATTCGGGTCGTAGTTTTGCTAGTAGTTACATCATGAAAAAGTTGCGAATTTTTGATAACTCTTGCTACATAAACAGGGATTCAGAAAGGGAATTGGTTGCAAGAATATCCTTAATTTAATCAAACGTCATTAAAACGGGAAAATTTAAAGATTTTGTTATATTCCAAGGATGACGCCATTCTGACGATAGTGAATTTTTGGGATTTTCTTAATGCTTATTTTTCTAAGAATTATTACTCATTAACTTCAAAAAATAATCTGTTAATTGGCATTTTGACTTTTTGTGGCTCTTTGTGAGCGAACGATTTCTACGTTTTAAAATTAATAAGAGAAATCTATTTTAAGCCATGCTTTAATATAGAAAGACTCGTATGAGGCATAAAATAGTCTTAAATAATAATAATAGTCTTAATGCTTAATAGTCTAATAAAAATAGTCTTAAATGCTTAAATGTATACAGACACTGTAATTATTTTTCAATTTTGGAATTTTTATCTGATTTAATTGTAAAATCAATAATCTGAAGAATATGTAAGCAACTACTGTTAATTCCAATGCGCATAGGATTAATATTTTTTTCCCTTTAATTTCAGAATATTTGGTAAATTTGGCTTAAAAGTATGATCTTTATGCAACACAATTAAACAGTGTGACGACTTTTATTAAACAAAAAAAAATTATAATAATCTTGGGGTGCTCTATTGCTTACACGAACTTAAATTATCCGCTTTACGGGTTTGAAGTCAAAACTTTTTTTTACGTTTTTACCCTTATCAGGCGCGTGGGTATGATGAGCTTTATAACGAATTATATTATCGTTTTCTAGTATTCATGATGCTTTACAATCATCTAAAATACACTTATAATAGATTTTTGTCCCATGTTTCATTTTCATTCTAAATAAAAATTCGTTAAATAAAATTAATTTCCTCCTCGAATCGAATCGATGTACTCAAATTGTGACATTTTGTTTGCATGTAAATCTTCTATCCAACCTTAAAAAGTGATAAAGAGAGTGGTGTTATCTCTCCCCTCTCTCACAAACAAAACTGGAAATTCAAATCCTTATGAACCCATACCCAATTTGCTGATTCTCGTAAAAGAACAATTTTTTGTTTCTTTAATTTTTGATGCTTTTTATTCATGTACTGATTCACTTTTACACTTTCACTTACTTTACACTATAATATTTTAAATCGTTAACCTTTTGACCCAGAATTTTTATTAAATATAACTTTTATATTTTGCTCATTATTTTTTATTAATTTATATCAAAATAAGTTAAAATATTACATTGAGCATTTTAACAGTTTGTGGTTACGAANTTTGGAATTTTACCTACTCTGTCGAGTTGCAAAGTCCTCCATGTTCCCATGACAAATCAATACCTCTGGGTGTACTGATCCAGGAGTTTCCTTGTCCTCTGGATTGGTTTGAAATTACATGGCTACGGAGTTGAACATAAGTCGTCATGAATCCAAAAATTTGGGTCGTCTGTTCAATGACGGATACAAAATAAGAATTATTGATACATTCTTATAAAAAAAATTCCTTCGAATCACGCTTTTTTTGGCGACATAATAAAGGACAAGACAAATACAGAAGGAAAGTAAGAAAGAATTTGTATTTGTCTTCTGTATTTTTTTTGTCGTTTATTGTACTGTTTTATGCTTCTGTAATTTACTGTATTGTAAAACATATTTTTCTATTTATTCTTGTATTTTTCTGGACCTGGGCAAAACGTTTGGGGAACAGAGAAAGCGAATTTTTTGACTTTTGTCTCAGTTTTTCTCGATAGAAAAAGTTTTGCATATTATGACAATTCAAGGCTGGTACCCCCTGATGATGTCAGCTTTGATTGTCATGTTTTGTTTCAATTTTTTACTTATTTTTCTTCAATGTCTCATTTGTTTAATTCCTCTTGGTTTCTTTGCTGCTAAGCTCATTTTTTCATTTGGATGTTTTAACTTTTTTAATCTTTTTTAATCGTATTTAATTTTTTTTTTGCATTAATATTTTGATTTCTTTTCATAAGTGAGAATATAAACATAGTTAAAGGAGAACAACGCAGTCAAATTTTTTAAAAAATCAAAAACAATTGTAACTTTTTTCGATAGTTCATCTTTTTAAGATTATAGTATCAAAATATTAATATGATTTTCGTAAATATTTAAAGCTTATAGTATAATATGTCAAGCGTGGAGCTACGCAGGACTGGCTGGCACAAGAGAGATTATATGAACTTGTGCTCTTAATTGACTAATTTGCTCACTCCTATCAAAATATTTCGGTAAAATACTATTATTTAAATTATTTTATTTGTTAAAATTTTTTTAAATTATAAAAGAAAAATAGTTATTTGTATTTTCAATATAAATAGCTGAAATTGCAACTTATGTGGCTGTGTTAATTTTTAACGAAGGCTGAAAAATATTGTGGGCAGTTTTGAAATAATTAAGAACGTACGCCCTACAGCTAAAGAAAGTAGGCTCAAACTAAGGATGATAACAGAATGTCAGTTCCTATTCTAAAACCATAAGAGGCATCAAATTAAAGTAGATTGGCAAGAAAAAGGTCTAAACTAACATTTGAGAATGCTAAAAATGAGGGGGGAAGATGTGTCTGATGTTGATGCATTATAGTCAGTGGTAAAATTTTATATATTTGTATGGCTTATTGATCACAAAACTTTGAACGCAATTTACTCGAAACTATGTTTCTCTTACTTATTGTATCTCTAACAAATACAATTTTCAACCTATTTACTTCAAATTTTTAAAATGTTCACAATGAATATAGTTTTTGTTGCACGTGGGAATTTTCCATTTGGAATGACTGATATTAAGTAATCTAAGACTGCTGAAATTATTTTTTTTAGCAATACCATTTTGAGAAAAAAATTATTCTTTCAAAAATTCTACGTGTAACGAAAGCTTCAGTTTCTAGTTTTAAAAAAATTATTATGGATAATTTATGATATGTATTGGCACCATAATATGGGTAATTTAAAAAAATAAGCTATAAACATTAAAAACATTATATTATCTAAACACTGATTTTTTTAAATGTTTTTACTTGTAAGAAATTAAGATTAAAACCAATACAATAAGATACAAAAATTTATTAAGCTCAACTTATCACCGTCAATGCAAAAGTCATTAAAAATATTATTTTTTTGAAGTCTTGTACTGTGTTGTTCCCTTTTAAAGGAACTCATCACTTAAATCCAAATTAAACACTTTAACTATCATTAATAAGATGGTGTGAATAATAATGATTTGCATTACTATAATAATGATTTGCATCTTTTAATAAGTATGATAAGAGAAAATCTATGAAAAGAGAAATTACCATTTACACTCGAAGGTCTTGCGAATTTTTTAGTGAGAAAGGAGAGCTTACTGCTCATAACCTAACTTTTAAAATCGTGCTACAACGCTTGATATAAATAGTCGCATTTCGAGAGATATTTGCTCTTTAGATTAGCAACAGCTGAAAACCCAGCTTTACACTGGTACAAAGCAGTTATAAAAACTCTCACAGCTTAGAAGATGCTTATTTTAAATTTAATAAAACGTTTTCAACTCTATCCTGAAACATTTGACAAAATAACAACTATTAAATGACTAAAAATAGATTATTATTT